AAGCGGCACAGTTAATGTCTGTGAAGATTCTCAGTCATCCAGGTCATGGTTATTCTGGTAGTTTAATCGTAGCAACTGGACTTGCTTGAGTTCCTTGAAGACGTTCCACCTCTCATCAAAGAGGCTTCATCAGTTCTGACTGACTCGTTGGGAGTTCCAGATACTTATATCCTAAAGGAGCCATTAACACCTGAGTTTTGGTTTCAATTGGGGGTTTGTGGCCCCTCCCCATCGGAATCGGAAGCGCTACCCCTCCCACAGACACAGACAGGAGCATCAGGGGCGGCTAGGGCGAGATGTGGTTTCATCTTCCTGGGGAGAGATCTCAGGACTGAGTTGTAAACAGGTGAGAGACGATGCCTCAGACCTCCACCTCTGTTGAGGGATGGTCTTTCCAGTTTGACACAGATGTCTTCTTTCACCCCTCCCTCAAACCATCTGTCCTCTCTGGCCAAAATCTGTACATTATTATCTTCAAATGAGTGTCCTTTGTCCTTGAGATGCAGGTGGACTGCTGCTGAGTCCTGTCCTGAGGAGCTGCTCTTCTGTGTTGAGTCATGCGCTTGTGGAGCAGTTGTTTAGTCTCCCTGATGTACAGGTCTGGACATTACTCACTGCACTGGACTGCGTACACTGAACAGTGAATGAAATGTTCATGATTTGGGCTTCTTATAATTAAACACGATTGAATGCAATATATTAGAAAACAGCCCATGTAGACGCTTTATCTTCAGTAAATTTGACACTAGAATGCGTGATTTCACTCTTTTTAAGCTCATTTTTGGTCTCACAGCTGCAGCAGTGACTGAGCTTAGACGAGAAGCTTCTGCTGTAGCCTGCACGTGAGGCGTTTAGGGAACATCTGTAAACCGCAGTGTCTATCACCAAGCAGGTATTTAGCAAATTAAACATTTTGGCTCAATAATAATTTATATTTAGCCTCTGTAGATGCTCTGGACCCAGGTAAAGATTGTTTTAGGACGTATTTTTATGGCAAAACATGAACATCAGCAGGAATGTATCACAGCAATAAAGTGAAAGCAGCGCTCAGTTTAGCTAAATGTGAAAATGCAATTAAAATATTATGCTAAATATTATGCAGTATTGATGGAGCTCACAGTGAGTCAAAATGTGACAGGAGCAAAAAAAAAACAAAAGGGCCAGAAACTGGCTTCGAAGCAAATAAATCCTGATTTGAGTCACGTGGTTTAAGCTTCTGCAGATTTTCGATCCTCATTTCTGTCATCTCTTCCAGTTCTAAACCCTTCAGTTCACTGGTTTTCACTGAACTCCAGTTTTTCTGCTCCTCGGCTCTCAGAGCTCCACTGTCGTCTTCCTTCTTAAGCAGGTACTTTTCATTCCAGTCAGTGAACAGGGGCCTCATTTCGATGCCAGGTGTATGCAATTAAGTTAAGTGGTAGAATACAAAACGAGCCGCTCTCTAAGCTCCGAGGACCACGGCTCTGACATTCACTGCTCTTTAAAAAAAGCTCCCGTGGACTTCGGGGTGTTTAGTTTAGGAGCTGCAGCCTCTGATAGCATCGGAGCTGCTGGGAGAGAAACCTGCAACAAGTTCTGAGCCGAGGGAAGGAAGAAAAAAAAAAAAAAAAAAGCCATGACAGTCAAACAGAGGCAGCGGTTGACTTTGAAAAGGCTCATCAAGGACATCACTCAGAGCTGGATTAACTCTGTAACAGTGTTTTTAGTGTGCGGTTGAAAAAAGAACAACAAAGCATTTAACGTTTTCTCTCCGTTCAGCGCCGTGACCCTGCCCCGCTCGCCTTCCTCCTCTTCATCACTGCTGTTGTAAGTGCTGACGCGATGCAGCCTCTTCAGTTCGCGTCGAGTGTTCCTGAAAGACGAACTCAGCTCGTGTCAAGTAGCCCACATATCAGAAACGTCTGTCTCCCCGTCGCCCCTCTCTCCGGCTTTAATCACAGTAATGCAGCTTACGGAGCCTTAATGGGATTCACTGCGTGGGTCTGCTGTCGCTCTGTGAATGACAATACCTCGGCTGGTTTACAAGCAGGACTCCTGACAGTCAGGTAGCAGGCGAGCGGCGGCCGTGAATACAGAGCAGGCAGCTCAGCGAGGCGCCGCTTTGATCTGCTGAATGGTAATCTAGCGGAGGGTAATGATGTCAAACCGAGCGAGGAGCTACTGTACATCAACACGAGTCAATCGAGCGCTAATAACGGGATTTCTTCCGGTGGAGTCTGGGCTTTTTAGCGGACGGGTCCGGTCAGGGAGGCGAAGTTTCTCGGCCTCCTCCTGCTGAGTCGGACATCGCGTTTCTGCCCTCGCCTCTGATTTTATTTGCATCTTCAGGGAAATTCACCGTTTACTGGTGTTTGATAAGTCTGCTGCACTCTCATCTGCCAGAGACGGAACAAGTACGAAGCTACCTGACTGCAGCTAACAGATAAGAACAAGGACAAGCAGAGAACTGACCTAAATACGAATCCACTCATCCATCCCTGCATACATACGCCGTGAAACATTTTTAACTCTTATGTTGTTGCACAATTTATTGTTATTTTACAGATTTTTCCTGTATTGATAACATCTAGTAAAATCACAGATATATATGTTATGTTCCATGTTTTACATAAAGAAACAGGCCCAGTGCGTCCGAATAGCTCAGCAGGTTGGGCGGGCGGCCCATGAACAGGGGTTGTAGTCCCTGACGCAGAGGTCGTGGGTTCGAGTCGGGCCGTGACCATTTATTGCCAGTCCTTCCCTCACTCTTCTCCCCATAAATCCTGTCTCTCTCTCCACTTTGAACGATAATAAAGGCT